GGAGCCGAGCCCCGACCGTGGAGAGGAGGAAGGATGGAAGGGGGACCGAGGCGAGCGCGGGACCCGCCAAGGCTCAGGCCCGTGAGGCGCCGGGCCGGGCCGGGGATGCCGGCAGGACAGGGGGCGTCTGAGAGGTCGAAGTGACGGCGCTGCGGGCTGGGGGGAGAAGTGCGCTCCCGCTGCCCGAGGGCAGGTGCTGCTGGCCAGGTCCTGTTATCTCCATCCTTCGTGGGGACATGAGGCCTGGGCTGGGCCCCCCGCAGTGAGGATCCGGGCGGCGGCGGAGGGCCGGGAGGCGCGGCGCGGTGCGGGAAAGTCACCGGCTCCTCCTGCAGTGGGACGGTGGGGGCCGGGATTTGCTGCCCCCAGCGCGGGTGAGCGCCCTGGGCGGGTATCTCCCCCCCCTCAACGAGCTCTTCTGCGACTTTCCTCCCACCTCCCCACCGAAGGATGGAAAAGTTTGTAAGGCCGGAGTTAGAAAGTCCCCACTATTCTGGGTGGGTGTTCTATAAATGCAAAAATGATAGATCCATGATGCGTGGCTCGTAACCTCTCCGAAATGAGGCGTTTCCCTGCCTGCATGCCGGTTGTTAAAAAGCAAACAAACTTTTTGCATAGTACCCTCAGAAAAGCAACCATCTCCCCAGCCCACCATGGCGGACGAAATTGATTTCACTACTGGAGATGCTGGGGCTTCCAGTACTTACCCTATGCAGTGTTCGGCCCTGCGCAAAAACGGCTTCGTGGTGCTCAAAGGACGACCATGCAAAATAGTGGAGATGTCAACTTCCAAAACTGGAAAGCACGGTCATGCGAAGGTAAATGCCCTTCCAGGTCTTTCTTGGTGTTGGGATTTTGATCATTTGTATTCCATTACAGAACATGAGGTTTCTATAGTTATAAGTGTATAATGACACTTTTTTTTTTTCTTCCCACAATTACTGGGTGATCAGCTATTTGAATACTGAAAGGTAACATTTCCTTCTTGGGCCCTTATAATGTTTCATTAACTGGGAACTGAAACTTTCCTGAATCCTAGTGACTTAGACAATCTATTCAGTTTACAAATGAGGAAACCTGTTCTAACATTCTAACGAACCTAAATTCATTGTTCTTAATCACTCTTATGATTGAATTACTAGACTATATGATATTGGGTCTTGATATGTCATGATACTGTTTAGTTGTTCACTGCTTTTCAGTTGTATGACATTTTTTTTAAAGAAAGTAAAATTAGATGACCTTGGAAGGAGAAAGAATCTGTCATAATCAGCTTTAGTATTATGCGTCTGTGTATGTAATGAGTGATATCTTGGCAAAGATTAAACAGTTTCCTGTTCTCCCATCTCTGTTAGGTTCACCTTGTTGGAATTGATATTTTCACGGGCAAAAAATATGAAGATATTTGCCCTTCTACTCACAACATGGATGTTCCAAATATTAAGAGAAATGATTATCAAGTAAGTACTAATTTCCTTTAGAATGCTGCTTGTTTTCTGAAGGTGCAAATACTTTCTACTGTCCATTGTAATTTAATAAAACCCACAAGTAGTTTTGTAGGTTTTTCTGACCAATTGTTAAGTACCACTTATTTTAGAAATTGGAGAAATAGATAGTGCTATTTAACACTTGGTACCTTATCTAGGATGACTGCTAGTTTGCCACTTTTTAACATTCTTGCATTTTAAAAAATTTGAACACTTATTATTTCTCAAATCAAGTGACTCCATATTGTGAGTCCAATGTTTAGTAAAATTACTATTTTCCTTGTTGTAAATTATTTCTCTTTGTTGTAAATACTTTCCAGGTATTTCTTTTCCCTTACCAGACCTAAGACTCTCAAGAAATTATTGGAATTCATGTTCCACCAACCAAATTTGTGTGTATTAGTGAATGTGTGTCAGAATTTGGTATTCTTAAATAGGGAAATAAGTTGAAAGCCATAAATACAAAGGATAAAGTGTATGGTCACTGAATATGGTGAAGAAAATACAAAAACTTCGTAATTGTTTTATTTGTATTCAGTGACCATGCTGTGACCTTTTGTTAAATTATAGGTATAAACTGCAAGTTTTAGTTCCAATTATGCATTTGGATAAGTCATGTTTAATGATAGCGTTTTCTTGTTTGGAGTATTGATGGTCACCAAACCACTGACCTCACAGAATGTGGGAGCTCAGATTAATCATAACTAAAGTCTTTCTTGAAAGTCTGCAATTTCTTTATCAAGCATACTATACATAGAACTCTTTTCATTTTGCATAGTGAAAAATACAAGTGTGACACTCGAATTCGTTTTACCCAATTCAAACTTGTTCCTTTCTGTACCTCATATTGTGTTGTATAATTTTTAAAGAATGTCACCATTAACTGCAATTACCCAATGATTTCCTTTTACTTTTTGTCCATATGTAAACATATTTTTGCACAGTTTTAATCTAGTAAGCAGTTTTATGTTTTCATTTTCCTACTTACAGATGTTTTCTAGGTTGCTTTGGAGTCTTCATAGAAATTTGAATTGTCTTAGTATAATAATAGCAAGATTTTTTTTAAGTCAGGCAGATCTGAGTTTTGATCTAGTTCTGCCACTTTCAAGCTGGGTGATGTTGGACAAATTACGCAACCTCTCTGAGCCTCAGTCTTCTCATCTACAAAGGAGGGATAATATGAAGATTAATGAGAAAATGTACTCCATAATTCCCTCAAAGTAGTTTTTTTTTCTGCTTCCCCTTTTTCTGTATAAAAACTTCACTTAATCATTCCATTATTCTTGGAGCACCTAATTTAGACATGGCATATAGTGGATGCTCAATAAACATTTGTTAAATGCATACATGATTACTCAATGAGGTAAAGATAGTACAGCCAACTAAAGCTAAGCATAGAATTTTCTTTTGCCAAAAATAGATTTCTGTTTTCATCCTTAACGTGTGAATGCTTTGAATATTCAATATTCATTAATATTCATTCAATATACAAAGCTTTTGCCCTTGAGTGTTTCAGAAAGATGGTATCAGTAGTTCAGATGACTACTACAGTGATCAAATTAGCCAGTCATTGATTGGAGCCCAAGATTTAACATAAAGGAAAATTTTGGTTTGGGTTTTATTTTGAGATAAAGCAGGACCTGGACTAGGATGAGGGGTATGAGATGAGTGAGGCCCTTGCCTCAAGCACAAAATTTTAAATAAAGACAGTACCAGAAACAATGCCAAATCACACAGGGGCCTGATCCTGTCTGATATTTTGTTCATTATAGAATTTATGCATTAATTCTAATTTTTAAAAATATTACATTAACCTGATCACTGAGGGGTGTGTGTCTGTGTGTGTGCGCACGCCACCTTAAATTTTGCACCCAAGACAAGTGCCTCACTTGCCTCACCGTAGTCCCAGCCTTTGATATGTAGTCTGTGTTCCAGAGCGGATCAGAGAATGACTCAAGCCTAACAGTCTGGGTCCAGATCCTTGTTTTGGCACTTACTAGCTGCATGACCTTGGTTGGCAAGTTATTTAATCTCTCACCTGCCTTTCTTTATAAAATAAGGATAAGAATAATAAACTCTTCATGGAATCACTGTGAGGTTTAATTAGTTAATTCTTAGAATACTACCTTGCAGAGTGAGCACTCAGTGATCGCATCCCTTCATTATCAAGTCACCATAGAATACTTATTTCTGTTCATTAAAAAAGATTAGTTCCATGAGCCTTTCCAGTTATATTTATTGTCCTGTGGTGGTCTTCACTCACCTTTCCAAGTGCCTTGATTAAACTTCTACTTATTATTTAGCTACATGTAGTCCTTTGTATTTGCTGAATTCAGTATTTCAAGTGCCAGTTTGACAGTCAGCTAAAGTGAAATATATATATCTGTTCATTATAATAATTAAAAAGTAAGTCTTTGTTTAGGAAATGTATCAATATTTACAATTTTAATTTTACATATTTTAACGTAAGTTCAGAATGAAAGGAAAATTGTCTCCTGAATTCCATTCCAAGATGTAGCTTGGATTGGAATTGCTAATTTCCATCACCTCTCCCAAAAGTAGTTATGGTTATCTGGGGCTCACTGATGGTGTAAAATACAAATACACCCAGACACCTTTGGGAATCCCCAGACTCTTAAATAAAGAAACGCTTGTTCAAACTCTGGTACGCACTTGAGTCATATTTCTTTAGAAAGTTCTGTGTTCCTGTGCACTACGCCACAAGTTAAATGCCTTTTCTGCGTTTACTAAAGTTTTACCTCTCATTTAAAGACCACTTTTCAGAAGGAAAACTAATCACTACAGGACATGTTAAAGTTTATATTGTGCATCTTTGGACTATTGATGAATTGCCAAAACTGTGAATATTAAATCCTAGTATATTCTTCAAATAAGTGGTATGTCTTTTGGATATGGAGTTGAATTTTGTTGTTGCAACTAAAATAGAACAACAAAGAAAATAATGATGCTATGGATTCCTTGTGTCTAAAGTCTTTTTATAATTTATACCTGTTCTGTGGAATCTTTGTGTTCCCTGGTAAAAGCAGTCTTTCTTTGGAGTAGAAAACCTCTAAACCAGAATATCCCAGTACTGCAGGGACAAGAAACAGATATTTTGCTACAGTATCATTAAGGGTAATAGTGAGAAGAGTCTCCTACCTTTGGTTCCTAGACCTGTGTATTCTACCTATGGGAGAAATAGTACCATATATTGGAATATATTTAACCTGTAAAACAGCACCCAGGTCCAGAGAGTGTCATTCAGCTGGAGGCAAAGATGAGTCTTCAATAGGCAAATGCACACAGGCAAACTGTCTTAGAATGATGGAGGACATGGACCAGTGAATTCTCTGAGCATTGTCCTGTTGTCTTTTTATTTTGCCTGTTAAATGAATTTTTTAGCCAGAAATGATACTATGTGTGGTACTGACAGTAATGTGACAGTTTACAAATCCACAGATGAGATTTTAGCAGAAGCACTGCAGGCAGCAAAGGCAAGTTTATATGTGGAGTAAGGATCTATTACAGTGAGCACAAACTGCTGCCTCTTCCATGATGGAGGGAGTACAATGTTACCAGGTAGCTGGCTCTTCCCCCGGGGAAGTGGCGCCATATCAGGGACTCTGTATTGGTCTCTGCTATGAGGTACCAGCAGTGGCTGTAGTCAGATCAGCCTTGGTGAGAGAAAACCGGTGTCATTGGGCCCATGCCACCGTGGTCAATTGTTCGTGAGCCAATTGAACAAGGACTGGGAAGACTACAAAAAGAAGCTAAATGACATTCACAGGTAGAATCATCTTGTCACCTAATTGTCTGCCTCCTCGGTAGCGTGTCCCCTTGGTAAGCAGTTATATGGACACGTTCTCTAACTATTTCTCTAACTACACGTACCACTTTCCCAGACCTTATTGTCAGCAATTTTCCCATCTTTTTCTTTCAGTTTTGTTGACCTTCCATCCGTACTCTTAGCTCTTGCCCATAATCAGTGTAAATCCAAACCTTTGGTTCTCTCTTCTTTCAAGTCCAGTACATGAAGTTCTCATCCCCACTGTCTTTCAGGGCCACCTCTGAATAGTTTCATCAGACTATGCATAACCATCTAGAAACCATTCTGAATTTTGTTTTTCAGTCAGGTGGTAATAGGGAACTCCCCACAAAGTCACTGGTACAAGTTGAGGGAGAAATTGTGGATGCTGCAGAAGAAGGTGCTTCCAAGTCTCATACAACTTGTTGATGCTTTCAGGAGCTGCTCAAGTTGATCTCACATATGCAGCTTCTACTTGATGATGGAGTGCTGCTGTGCATACCCAACTTTATGGCTTGGTGTGTCAGATAACACTCTAGTTGATGATAGTGTTATTTCCTTGTGTTGTCTGATAACAATGATCAAACATTCAGTTCCCCCCAGGGACCAGCAGCTCTAAAGAAGTAGTTTGAGAGTGCTGCGGGAAGAGGAAAAGGAAGAAGGAGAAAGGAGGAGGTCTTACCTAAAAGTCTGACTGTTTTGAAATAGATTGAGAAATAAAATTAAATTCAGAAATTAGGGCTAAGCCACCTGTAATGATGCTATTCCTTCTCCAGCCTTCTTCTGTTGTATACCAGTAATACAAATAGAAGCAAAAAAGTTCCCCCATAATTCTCCTTTTTCGTGTTCTTTCTTACCAGACCACATCATGGATAGAATCTGCAGTCACTTACTCTCCCCATATCCTTCCTTTCAGTTCATGCTTTGCTTCCTCAGCTCCCTGTACCCCCAACTATTTAGTGGTTACAGTGCTCTTTCTAGAATTCTGATATACCATAGCATTTTTCTTTTTTACTTTTTGTTGTGGACATTTTCAAAATCTGATGAACCTCACGTACCCATCATCCACCTTCCACAATTATCAGTACATAACCAATCTTGTTTCATCTGTACCCCACCATCTATTTTTATTTCCTGTACCCTCTACCTCTTGGTTATTTTGAAGCTA